CAAAGCTCCGCTCGTAGCGCTCCACTCTGAGCTCCGGGTCCTCCTCCGGGGCGTACACGTTCTGTGGGGGGAGAAGGAGGCCCCTTCACAGGCTTTGACCCCTCAGCAGCACGCCGAGAGGGGCTTCAGACAAGAGACACCCCTGCAGGCAAGGCACGATGTGAAGCAGACCACATTCCCGGCCCCTGATCCCAGGGAACAGACACCATTCCCATCTTTCTTCCCACAAAGCCACCAGCAGTTTCCTTTGGACGGAGCCTGCAGCAACCCGCTGGCTTCCAGAATAAAGGAATTCTATCCAAAGTGCTTGCCCCACGCCAAGGAGCCCATCTCCCATGTGCACAGTGCTGTACCTGAAGGTAGCTGTTGCCTGCGGGGTCATCCAGGATGATGTGAGCATTCGCCTTTCCCTCTATGATCTGTGGAAAGAGCACATCCAGGCATTAATGCTCTTCCTAATCCTCCACTCCAGGCACCGGGACGCTCCCAGCACATCCCAGACATTCCTAGCGCTGCCCTCAGTTAAACAGCAGCAGGGGCTGGGTAAAACAAGCGTGGAAATGCAGGAGGGCGCTCACCTCCTGCAGCTTCCCAATGAACTCCCGCAGCTTCCCGGTCCTGCTGGGCACAGAGCTGTCCCCCAGCGTGAAGGGGTTCCTCTCCACCTGGAACAGCAGGAACCTCAGTGCAGCGCGAGCCCCCAGCCCCGCAGCGGAGCCCCCCCGAGCCGCACAGCACCACTCACCAGGTCCCGGATGTCCTTGAGCAGCCCCTCCAGCGTGGTGAACTTGCCCCCCAGCGCTCCCATGCCCAGCTCGAACTCCAGCTCCGGGATCTCCACCCTGCACGTCTCGGACTGCGGAGGAAGAGCCCCGTGAGCCCTGCGGGGCCACTGAGCCCCACGCACCCAGGGCAGGATGAGGCCGGTACCTTGAGGATGCCCCTAATCATGTCGGAGGGGTCTGTGCTCCGCAGGGGGTTGTGATCCGCAGGGTAATCCTGGTGCCCTGCGGCTCGATGGCTCCTCCAGACTTCACCTGCAAGAACCCAGAGTCGGCTTCACCCAGTGCGGTGCTTAAATCACACCCCAGCGCCTTAACAGGGTTTACCCAGCAGCTCAGAGGCCGCTCCATGCCCAGGGATAGTGCCTAAACCCAGGAGACTGGAGCAGACAAGGACACGGACAAACAGAGCTCTCCAGGACTCAGTCCTCCCCTTGGCTCATCCATGAATCCAGCCCGGCTTCACAGAGGAGGACAGAGACGCTGGGAAACACTCACCCATGGAAGCAGAGCCCACCAGAGCCCTCCCCACTGCCCCCCAGAGCAGAGGGCAGGGGTTTGCCAGCTCACCTCATTCGTCCTGTGCCCACAGGAGTCACAGTTTGTGGCCATGATAATCACTTCCTTGAAGTGTGGGATCTCTGGAGCACACGGTCAAGGAAAACTCAACGCAAGGGCAGCCTCAGAGATCCCAGCAGCCCCGAGGCACTGCAGGAGCTCGCTGGCAAGTCCTGAGCGGCACCAAGACACCCTGACACGCTCTTCACACAGGACTCTCCTCGCCACTGGCTCCATGCAGAGCCCCACGGGGGGGCCTGATCCGCGCCCCCACCCCAAGGATACGCACTAACTTCATATTCGTGTTGGCTGGAGCGTTGCACTCGGGGCAGTTGGTGTTGAACTGCAGGACCTGGGTCACGGGAGCAGACAGGAGCATCAGAAAGGCCCGTCCAGTGCAGAGAGCGGGTCCTGGGCACCAGCCATGCAGGCCTGGGCACCACCACGGTCACCCACCTCGTTCCGCAGGTCCTCCGCAGCATCGTCTGGCTTCTCACCCAACTCCTCTCCCTGCAGGAAGGACACCAGGAGCAGCATTAACTCCTGTTCCTCCCCTCAGGGTCTCCCAGAGGATGAGGGGGCTGATGAGCCCGCCTTGTGCATGCAGCAGGCTGATGGCACAGCCTGAGCTGCCCGTTACCTCCAGTCCCAGCATGGCAGCCTGCTGGGGACTCCTCCTGTAGTGAGTGACCACCAGAGCAGCATCCTTCTGTGGCGCGTGAGGGTTCTCCACAAAGCTGTTCCCTGAAGGGTCGTCGATGATCTATGGGAGAACAAAGCTTTGGGAGCCCATCCTGCACTTCCCCTGAGGGGAAAGGGGCTGCACCCCCCAGCACTCACAAAGGTGAAGGAGGAGTGCACTTCTTTCAGCTCCTTCAGCTTCCCAATGAACTCATCTATTTTACTGGCCACCTCTTGGTCTGTTGCCTGCAAAGGAGGACACGCTTGAGACCAGTGCTGGGGGCAGCCCAGAAGACACCACTGACACCAGCACAAAACCAAAGCGCCCAGAACTACCAGCAGTGCACAGGGCTGGTAGGCAGAGGGTGAGCGCAACGAGCATTCCTGAGGAGCTTCCCCTTCCACCAGCTCTTACCCTGCGGACAGGCTGGTCCTGCTCCAGGCCGGCCACAGCCCTGTCAATGATCCCTTCGATGGTGGTAAGAACTGGGGAAGGAAAGAGAACAGAAGGGGGGCACTGTTAAACACACCACAGTGGTGCCA